CCCCCCATGGAATCAGCATTGCCCACCCCGTTCAATGAGGCTCTGCTCACTAAAAAGCACGGAACTCTCTTAGAACCCTCTGCCATATTCCTCTACAAGTATCCCTCCTGCCAGCCTTACACAGCACTCTGATGAGAGAAATGCTGAAGTGACACCAGGATGTTGACTTATTTTAAAGTTTCCAGCAACAAGACTCACTGCAACTCACACAAACAAGCCAGTCGGGCACCACAGAAATGTGCCGCATGCAGTGGGAACAAACACTAACCACATCCACTTTCCCTAGCCAGTTCTTGGCAAGTTTCTTGCCCCCTCTCCAGTCCACCAGCACACCCGAGGGCAGGGCTGGGTCTCCACTGTGTGCCCAGCCTCTCATCCCAAGACTGCATGGGACACGAGGGATCCCACCAGGACCACTGCTCACTATTGACTCTGCTCAGCCACTGCTTTCTGCTGTGGGAGCCACACATCCTCCTGCTGCCAGGAGCTGCCCTGCAGGAGTCGAGCTGGGGAGCACAACTGCTGGCAGGGCAGTGCAGTGCAGCACCTGAGGATGGAGGGTCAGACCCTGGCCCATCAGGGCTGGAGCACAGCCCCAGTGCCTGTGCAGGGATCAGAACAGGCACATCCCTGCTGTGCTCTGAACAGCCTGTCCCCAGGCTTGGCTGTGGGATATGGATGAGGAGCTGGCAGGGCATCCCACCTTCCCTGGGACAGGAGCATATAGAGAGTGCTTGGAAGCTGGAGGAGGGCTGCCAGTAAGAAGCAGAGTTCAGGTGAGCCTCCTCCTGCTACAAGATCCCCATCAGTCCCACACGGCCACTCCTGGGCTAAGAGCTGCCCTGTCAGCTCAGACAGGGCTGCAGCACTGGCCATGCCTTACCTTTGGGCCTGGAGACCTCGGTGGCGTTGGGAGCTGTCATGGCAATGCAGACGTCATCCTGAGGAAACTGGTCACACTTGAGCATCTCTGGCCAGAAGAAGCCAAAGAACTGCATGACGGGCTCACAGGAGTCACGTACGGCCTCGCAGAGCCAGCGGCAGGGGTAGACCGGCCGGTCCAGGCAGACGGGGGCAAAGAGGGAGCAGAGGAAGACCTGCGTGCCCATATGGCAGTTCTTGTTGAGCAGCGGCACCCAGCTGCTCGCCTGGTGCTTCACCTCGGCCATGGTCTCGTGGTCCAGCAGGTTGGGCAGCACCATCTTGTCGTAGCCCACGCTGTGGCAGAGCCGCAGGTCGGCAGGGATGGCCACACACTGGTGGGGTTTGGCGTAGAAGCGCCCGCCGGGGTAGGGGCCC